GCATTTGAAAATGAAAAATTGGTATAAATCATTAACAGAAAATAATATTAATTATAAATTATTTTATTGAAAAGATCGAAGTATTTTTGTTCATGATGATTCATATCAACTGAACACCATGGAAGCATATCAAGATTTATATAGCTCATATATCTTGTAGATAAAAGCCCATATAGGCATGGAATCTGATTTAGAAGACGAAAACACAGTATGAATTCTCAATTCAATTCTAACAAAAAAGAACAAGTATATTAGACTATCTATTGATATAAAAAATGATGGAGAATTACAGTATACATTTGAAAATTTTGAAAATGACTATACATTCACCAGTTCAAAGGAAATAAAACATTATGATCATATGTTTAACAACTTCAAAGATGAATTAGGAGTTTCAGGAAAATATCTATACCAACATTATTAGGATTTGACAATATTGAAATATTACCTATTTATGTGACCAAGTGCTTGAAAAATGAAACTTTTGCAAAGGAGAATTTATCTTGAACAAGGACTCCAAAGCCTTCATGAAATAATGTTTTTTTGTGAAGAAAAATATAAATGCTTCCAACAAAAATTACTTAACTTTTATGCATGGTCAGCAAATACTGTGTCTTCTTCCTATGTTAACTGTAGTAATTGTCAATGTAGAGCTGTTGACAACCCAGGCTTAATCAATGTAACTACAGATGCAATTAGAGTAATTAATATCATTAGGAGAACAATTGAAGAATTAGAAGAAGATAATATCATTGTTAGAGATGATGTAATTGGAATTTTTCTTCGATTTAAGAATAAAAAAATAATTGACAAAAAATTGAATTCACTTTCAATTTATGAGGAAAATTTTGATAAACAATTAGGAATTCAAAACAGACATTTCACTTACTTGATGATTTAATAAATAAAAAAATAGTAGTAGAAGCAGTTACATTGAAAAAAACTGGTAGTGGTTTTTGGATATCAGATTCAAAAATTACAGGTGTTGCTGAAGATGCTGAGGAAATGGTGTATTCTTATTCTTGGGATTACTATTTGTAACATGATTTACATATTAATATTGTGATAAAACAAATTGTTGTCCAATCATGTTTTGGACATGTGTCATTTTATTATTAATATTTTTTATTACTTATTTTTATTATTTATTTCTTATATATTAATTTAAAAAAGAAAATAATTTTTAGAACATAAAAATTATTACCTTTTGACCAAGTGAAAGAACAATCAATCAATCAACTGGTTAATTAACTATTTAATTAATATTTCAGGCCTTGCTTATAATATAAAATTTATTTACAAATAATTTATTTCAATTTTTGCTTAATAAAACATTTTTTTGGTCGGAAATTAAACAATAGGGTTTAATTGTCCATTTGGTTATCAGAGTGATATAGAATTCTGAGGTTTTGGTTATTTGCTTTAATATAGAAAGCAAAGGTTTGGTTTTTGGTTTTTTGTTAAGCATAAATGTTTTTGTTTAAGTTTTTGTAAAAGTGTTTAAATATTTAAGTGTTAAGACTGATTGGCAAAAGTATTAAGTGTTAATGTTGATAATGTTGAGTTATTATTATTATTAATAATTATTTATGATGATTAACATTAAAAATTTTTTTTTGAGCCATTGTTTACTATTAATTTACCACATGATTCCCCCTACCCTTAACTTATATTTTTATTTATGTATTTTTCTATTATTAGTTAATTCCAAGTCATGTGCCTACTAATTTATCATTGGTCCAAATTATTTA